TGATAGCTCACGCCCATAATCCCAGCACTTTGGGAGGTGAAGGCAAGAGGATTCCTAGAACTCATGGGTTCAAGACCTGCCTAGGCAACATGGTGAGACCTCGTCTCTACAATAATCAAAAAAATTGGACAGGCATGGTGATGTGTGCCTGTAGTTCCAGTTACTCAAAGGCTGAGGCAGGATTGTTTGAGTCCAGCATGCCAAGACTGCAGTGGTATGAGCATGCCACTGCACTCCAGCCTGGGCAACAGAGTAAGACTCTAATTTAAAAATAAATAAATACATACATAAATAAAATAAAAATTTTTTAAAATTGTTTTTCCTAACCAGGTGTGGTAGCTCACATCTGCAATCCTAGCACTTTGGGAGGCAGAGAAGAGAGGATTGCCTGAGTCCATGGGTTTGAGACCAGCCTGGGAAAACTGGCACCATCTCCTCTCTACAATAAACTAGCAAACAAACAAACAAAAAAGTAAGGCTGGGTGTGGCAGCTCATACCTATAATTCCAGCACTTTGGGAGGCCCAGGGGAGAGAATTGCTTGAGCCTACCTATGGATTCCAGACCAGCCGGGCAACTTGGCAAGACCTCATCACTACAATTAAAAAAAAAAAAATTAGTCAGATGTGATGGCCCACACCTGTGGTTCCAGCCTTGGAAGGCTTAAGTGGAAGAATTGCCTGAGCCTAGCAGGTTGAGGCTATGGTGGCTGTGAGTGTGTCACTGCCCACCAACCTTGCTGACAGAGTGAGACTCTGACTCAAAAAAAATAAAAAATCCGGGTGTAGTGGCTCAGCCTGTAATCTCAGCAATTTGGGAGGCTCAGGTGAGAGAACTGCCTGAACCTGGGAGTTTGAGACCAGCCTGGGCAAAACTAGCCAGGCATGGTGGCATGCATCTGTAGTTCTAGCTACTTGGAAGGCTGAGGTGGAAGTATTGCCTGAGTTCAGCAGGTCAAGGCTGCGGTGGCTGTGAGCATGCCACTGCACTCCAGCCTGGGTGACAGAGTAAGACTCCAACTGGAAAAAAAAAAATATTAAAAATAGCACAAGTGGCTGGGCTCGGTGGTTCAATTTGTAATCCCAGCACTTTGGGAGACCAAGGCGACTGGATTGACTGAGCCCGTGGGTTCGAGACCCACCTGGGCAACTTGGCGAGACCTCATCTCTACAATAAATAAAAAAAATTAGCCAGGCATGGTAGCACGCGCCTGTAGTTCTGGCTACTCGGAAGGCTGAGGCAGAAGGATCATTGGAGCCCAGCAGGTCAAGGTTGTAGTAACCGGGAGTGTGCTACTGCACTCCAGCCTGGGCGACAGAGTAAGATTCCAACTCAAAAAAAAAAAAAAAAAATAGCACAAGTAAATGACTCTTTATTTTTTTCTAATTTTTATTTATTTTTTAGTTGGAGTCTCACTCCTATTGCCCAGGCTGGAGTACACGGCCACCACAGCCTCAACCTGCTGGGTTCTGGCAATCCTTCCACCTCAGCTGGAACTACAGACTCACGTCACCATGCCCGGCTAGTAAATGATTCTTTAAAAAGAATATCAGCTGGGCGCAATGTCTCACACCTATCATCTTAGCACTTTGGGATGCCGAGGTGAGTGGATTGCCTAAGCTCACGGGTTCCAGACCAGCCTGGGCAACATGGTGAGACCTCATCTCTACAATAAATAAAAAAATTTATGGTAGCGTGTGCCTGCAGTTCCAGCTACTTGGAAACCTGAGGCAGAAGGATCATCTGAGCCCAGCAGGTTGAGGCTGCGGTGGCTGTGAGCATGCCACTGCACTCCAGCCTTTGCAACAGAGTGAGACTCTGACTCAAAAAAAAAAAAAAGTATCACAGACCAGGTGTGGTGGCTCATGCCTATAATCCCAGCACTTTGGGAAGCCGAGGTAAGAAGGATTGCTTGAGCCAGGAGTTTGAGACCAGGCTATACAACAAAGCAAGACCTCATCACAACAAAAAATAAAAAATTTAGTTGGAGCCGGGCTCGGTGGCTCAGCCTGTAATCTCGCGCCTTTGGGAGGCCGAGGTGAGTGGATTGCCTGAGTCCATGGGTTCAAGACCTGCCCGGGCAACTTGGCGAGACCTCAATAAATAAAAAATTAGCAGGGTGTGGTAGCGCGTGCCTGTAGTTCCAGCTACTTGGAAGGCTGAGATGGAAGGATCACCAGAGCCCAGCAGGTCGAGGCTGCGGTCACTGCACTCCAGTCTGGGCGACAGAGTGAGACTCCAACTCAAAAAAAAAAAAAAAAGAAAATTTTAGTTGGGAGGTCAATGTAAAAATTAAAAAAAAAAAAAATGACACCTGTACTGGCATGTTCATCAAAGAACAATTCACAATTGCAAAGATGTGGAATCAACCTAAATGCCCATCCACTGATCAGTGAATAATGCATATGTGGTATATATACACTATAAAATACTATTCAGCCAACAAAAATAAAACAATGTTAGGCCAGGAGCAGTGGCTCATGAGCCTGCGGTGGCCATGAGAGTGCCACTACACTCCAGCCTGGGTGACACAGTGAGACTTTGACTAAAAAAAAAAAGTTGTTTTTCCTAATTTTCTAAAACCTAAGGGAATGTTTTAAGAACTATTAAAAAAAAAAGAACTATTAATATCTCATTTGAGTCTGGGTACAGTGGCTTGTGTCTGTAAGGCCAGCACTTACTAAGGTTCAGGCAAGTGGATCGCTTAAGCCCAGGAGTATTTTCCATATTTTCAGTTCTATTCATTGAAAATCATGTGAACAGGTTATTTATTCATTTATTTTGTGTTGGAGTCTCACTCTGTCACCCAGGCTGGAGTGCAGTGGCATGCTCATGGCCACCACAGCCTCAACCTGCTAGGCTCAGGTGATCCTTTCATCTCAGCCTTCCAAGTAGCTGGAACTACAGGCACGGGTTACCATGCCCGGCTAATTTTTAAAATTTTTTTGTAGAGACGAGGTCTCATCAAGTTGCCCAGGTTTGTCTTGAACCCCTGGACTCAGGCAACTCTCTTACCTCAGCCTCCCATAGTCCTGGGATTACAGGCTTGAGCCCCCCAGGTCAGCCTTATTTATCATTTAGAGGCAGTGTCTCACTCTGCTGCCCAGAGTGCAGTGGCATGATCATAGCTCACCGCAGTCTCAAACCTCTGAGCTCAAGTGATCCTTTTACCTTAGTCTCCCAAGTAGCTGGGACTACATTGCAAACTACATGCCTGGCTACGTTTTTTATTTTTTGTAGAGATAGTTTTTTACTGTGTTGCCCAGGCTGGTCTCAAATTCCTGGGCTCAAGCCATCCTCCCATCTTGGCCTCTGAAAGCACTGGGATTACAGGAATGAGCCATATGCCCAGCAAAAAACATGTAACTTAAAATATACTAAAGGACAGAAAAAAGTAAAACATGAAATACAAAATAACCCAGGTGCGTGGCTCACTCATTGGCAGTAGTGGGAAACTGCTGGTGTGGGGAGGCACAGCTCATCAACAAGAGTACCTGCATAATGAAAAATTGTATACCTAACCTTGAATTGTACTCCACATCTTTAAAAATAAAAAAATTAAAAAGAAAATAAAAATAAAATTTAAAAAGTGAATTTTATAAACTGAAACAAACACAAGGTAATCATACTATTTATTTTTCTATTTTTTTGTTTTTTGAGTTGGAGTCTCACTCTGTCACCCAGACTGGAGTGCAGTGGCCGCTCCCGGCCACCACAGCCTCAACCTGCTGGGCTCCAGCGATCCTTCCGTCTTAGCCTTCCAAGTAGCTGGAACTACAGGTGCCCGTACCACGCCTGGCTAATTTTTTGATTTATTGTAGAGATGAGGTCTCACCAAGTTGCCCAGGCGGGTCTCGAACCCACAGGCTCAGGCAATCCACTCATCTCAGCCTCCCAAAGGTGCGGGATTACAGGCTGAGCCACCGAGCCCGGCTTATTTTTCTATTTTTAATTAAATTAATTAATCAATTAATTTACTTATTGAGTCAGAGTCTTACTCTGTCGCCCAGGCTGGAGTGCAGTGGCATGCTCTCGACCATCGCAACCTCGACTGCTGGGCTCAGGCAATCCTTCCACCTCAGCCTTTCTTTCTTTTTTTTTTTTTGAGTTGGAGTCTCACTCTGTCGCTCAGACTGGAGGGCAGTGGCACGCACCCAGCCACCGCCGCCTCAGCCTGCTGGATTCTGGCGATCCTTCCGCCTCAGCCTTCCAAGTAGCTGGAACTACAGGTGCGTGCTACTACACCCGGCTACTTTTTGGTTTATTGTAGAGATGAGTTCAGGCCAAGTTGCCCAGGCGGGTCTTGAACCCGCGGGCTCAGGCAGTCCACTCACCTCAGCCTCCCAAAGCGTGAGATTACAGGCTGAGCCACCAAGCCCGGCCACCACCCCAGCCTTTCAAGTAGCTGGAATTATAGACATATGCCACCACACCCAGCTAATTTTGTGATTTACTGTAGAGATGAGGTCTCACCAAGTTGCCCAGGTTGGTCTCGAACCTCCAGGCTCAGGCAATCCTCTTGCCTTGGCCTCCCAAAGTGCTGGGATTACAGGCTAAGCCACCACACTCAGCCTACCTGGCTAATTTTAAAATTATTTTGTTGAGACCAGGTCTTGCTGTGTTGCCTAGGCCAATCTCAAGCAATCCTTCTGCTTCAGCCCCCAAAGTGCTGGGATTACAAGCATGAGCCACTACATCTGGCCAAGGTAACAGTATTGTTATTAGAGACCCACATTTGGGTAGAATGCCACGTATCCTGGGAGTGATGGGCTTCCCTGGGAGTTGCTCATCCCAGGCTCTCTGGGATCTGCACTCATATCTGTGACACATAATCTGTAATTATGCATGCATCTGGCTCTCTCACTAGAATGTAAATTAAGTTCTTCCAGAGCAGAATTTACCTTGCCTTCCTTCAGCATCTGGCTGAGGGCACAGTGCCAGCCACAAAGCAATCACTTTATAATGGTTGACAGAGGAATGAATGAATGAACAATTCCTTACCTTCCAACGCATCATCTCCAACTTCTTCATATGTCTGCCAAGAGAGCAGAAGGGTGGGTGAGCCGCATGGTGAAATCTTGGCCCATGACCATGATGGCTTATTCTTTTTTTTTGAGTCGGAGTCTCATTCTGTCACCAAGGTTGGAGTACAGTGGCACACTCATGGCCACTGCAGGACAAGGGCTTATTTTTAACAAGGGGCCCTAGGTTCCTTCAGCTTTCCCATTTTTCTGAAGCCCAAGCCCCCATCCTTGCCAATCCCATCCTGGAAAAATGACCCATTTCTAGAGGAGAGACATAACCCAAGAGGGTCAGACCTGCCACGTCACAGTACCTGCATGGTGCTCTGGGTATAGCCATACTGGGGGTAGCTGTAGCTGTAGCTGCCTGTGTTCTGGTCATAGCCCCACTGGGCATAGTAGTTCTGGTACTGCTGGTAATACTGGTTGTAGCTGTAACTGTACATCTGACTATATTCCACTGGCTTTACACGGCTCCTTAAATGAAGAAACAAAAATAAACACGACAACCCTCTTTCAGGCCCCCCTCTGCTTGAAAGTTTTTCTGTCTTCTTAATAAATCCTATTTTCTCAAAAATAAGTAAGTAAATAAATAAACAACTGCAGGTCAACATTTCCAGAACACTGCCTATGTGGCCAGAGGCTATCCTAAGAGTTTTTGCAGACTAGTTCATTTAATCCTCACAACATCCCGATGCAATAAATAAATATATCATTATTTGGCTGGGCTCGGTAGCTCAGCCTGTAATCTCAGCACTTTGGGAGGCCGAGGTGAGTGGATTGCCTGAGTCCACGGGTTCAAGACCAGCCCAGGCCACTTGGCAAGCCCTCATCTCTTAGTAAATTTTAAAAATTAGTCAGGCGTGGTAGTGTGCACCTGAAGTTCTGGCTCCTTGGAAGGCTGTGGGGGAAGGATCGCCGGAGCCCAGCAGGTCAACGCTGGGGTGGCTGTGAGTATGCCACTGTCCTCCAGCCTGGGCGACAGAATGAGACTCCAACTCAAAAAAAAAGAGCATCGAAAGCTCAACCCTAAGAGTTCAGCTATTCTTGTACTTTTGGTGTAGTTTCTCAGCCTTGATACCACTGACATGGTGCGGTGGATTGTCACACAATTCCTTGTTGTGGGGGCTGTCCTATACATGGCAGGATGTTTAGCAGTATCTCTGGCTGCTACACATTAGATGCCAAAAGCACATCCTCAGTTGAGATAACCAAAACAGCTCCAGATACTGCCCAGGTCTCCTGGGGGGCAAAATCACCCCCAGTTGAGAATTATTAATTTGGCTACAGAATAAAAGATGCTATTCAGAGAAAAGCTGTCTTGCATCTGCAGGAGAAACATGCTTGGAGTCGTAAGGAAGAAGGTTTTTGTACCTAGCATGACAGGTGTAATAGTGATGCATAAAATGTTCTATAGATTGTGTGGAACATTAAATCTTACCCATTTCAGCAGCAAGGAATATTCACAGGAAGGTTGTAGGCTTCTTTAATATAAATAAGGGTAAATTTTTTTTTCCTTTTGGTAAATATTTGTTTTGCTTATTTATTTGAGTCAGAGTCTCACTGTTGTTGTCCAGGTTGGAGTGCAGTGACATGATCACAGCTCACTGCAGCCTTGACCTTCTGAGCTCAGGCGATCCTTCTGCCTCAGTCTCTCAACTAGCTGGAACTACAGGTGTGTACCACCATGCCTGGCTAATTCTTTATTTTTTTTATTTTTGTGGAGACAAGGTTTCGGTGTATTTTCCAGGCTGATCTTGAACTCCTGGGCTCAAGCTATTCTTCTGCCTCAGCCTCCCAGAGTGCTGGGATTACAGGCGTGCGCCACTGTGTCTGGCCTAATCCTTATTAATTCTATGGATAAGTTCCCAACAGTGGCACTACTGGGTAATGAGCAGGGACATCACATATGTATAGCCAAATAGCTTTTCCAATGTTGCCACAAGCATCGCCTAAATGTACTGCCTCTCCCAATCATAGCTCTATCGCAAACTACGAGCTTCTAGAGGGGCGGGTTAAGCTAATTCATCTGTAATATGCAGCACACAGCCTGGCAAACAGCAGGTTTTCAGTACTTGTGGCTTGAACTGAATCCCCCTGCAGTCTCGCACCATCATGTGGATGCCCTGATTTTCAGCAAATGGATGAAGAATGTTCAGGGTGGAGTCTGAGGCCATCTAACACCCCTGCAGGACTCACGCTTTAGGGATTGCCACGCTCAGTCGCACAGGTTTGGACCCCAATCCTACTGCCCCCTGGCACTCCGTCAGGGCTCGCTTCTGCTCCAATTCATCTGTGAATTTCACAAAACCATAACCCCTGCAGGAAAAAAATAACAACATACTATTTAGATCACAAATGTGATAGAAGTCTAAGAATGGAGGAATGGAAAAGAAGAAAGAGTAAGAAAGGAAATGGGCTAAGAGGAGAGAGACAGTTCATCAAACTAGAGGAAGGGATGGCAGCCTCATCAGGGAAGGTGTCCACAAGGTAGTGTCAGGATTCAAGCCCAGGATGACCATGAGATCTGTAGAAATTTCCACTTTCTGTTTACCATTTTCCTCAACACCATCATCCATAGGGTCCTTCCCTAACCAGAGCATCCACAACAATCTACTGAAAAACAACTACTATCATTACCCTCATCATTATGGTAGTAGAGGTAGTATTAACAGTTGAAAAAGTTCATTTAGCAAATAGTTACAGAATGTGCCTGTATGCCAGACACTGTTGTTCTAGGCACCTGATGTAGCAATCACAAACAGACAAGGTGCCTGCTTTCCTAAGCTCATATTCTAGCTGGGGGCTAAATTACTGCTAGCTAACATTTAATAAACACTTGTTTCTCAGGCATTGTGCTGAGTATTTTCTCAGGATCAACCTGTCTAACTATCATGAAGGTGGTATCTACATTTTGTTGAAGAGGTATTTAAAGTTAAGAGAGGTCTAATAACCTGCCCAGGCAGGGCATGGTGGCTCACAGTTGTAATTCCAGCTACTCAGGAGGCTGAGGTAGGAGGATTGCTTAAGTTGAGGAGTTGGAGACCAGTCTGGGCAATATAGCCAGACTCTCTCTCTAAAAACGAGCCAAGCATGGGCATGGTAGCACGGGCCTATAGTACCAGCTACTGAGAAGGCAGAGATGGTAGAACTGTTTGAGCCTAGGAATTTGAGGCTGCAGTGAGCCATTATTATCTAAGCCTACAGGTTTGAGACCAGTCTGGGCAATTTGGTGAGACATCATCTCTACAATAAATAAAAAAAATCAGCCAGGAATGGTTTTGTGTGCCTGTAGTTCCAGATACTTGGAAGGCTGAGGCAGAAGGATCGCCGGAGCCTAGCAGTTCAAGGCTGCAGTGGCCGTGAGTGTGCCACTGCACTGTACTCCTGCCTGGGCGACGGAGTGAGACTCCAACTCAAAAAAAAAAAAAAAAGCTTTTCTTGAGGTTTTTCCATTTTTGAAGTGGAAAACTTCTAACTATACCAATAGGCTCCCCCCGCCCCCCAAAAAAAGGTTGGGGCGTGCTGACTTACACCTGTAATCCCAGCACTTTGGGAGATCAAGGGAGGAGGATTACTTGAGCCCAGGAGTTTGAGACCATCCTAGGCAACATAGCAAGACCTCATCTCTAAAAAATAAAAAAAAATTAATTAACTTAAAAAAGGTTCAGTAGCAATAACAAACAAAATAGCCAACATCTATAAAGCATTTTGGTTGAGACTTATTTATATCTTTTAATCCTACATCAATCCCATTAGCAGCTGCTATTAACCAGCCCCATTTTATAGATGGGGCTGAAGGGTCAGAAAGGCTCAGTAACTTGTCCACTGTATTATCCTAAATAGTACCAGAGTTGGGGTTCATACAAGGCAGTTTAGCTGCGCTCTTAACCACCAGGCTACATGGTCTCTCTAAAACATCTCCACCCAGAAGAGCAGGATGAAACTCCCAGAGTAGGCATCGATAATGCATACGGTCTTACTTAGACATGCCTGTCTGGTCCAAAACCACTTTGCCTCCTCGACAGGAGGGATAGACTTTGACGAAGAATTCATACAGCATGCCATCGTCCACGTCAGGGGTCAGGTCCCCCACAAAGAGGGAGTATTCAGGGCTGAGAGGAGAGAAAAACAGGACTCAGAGATAAAAGACAAAAAACTCTGTTCTGAAGAGCTCTTCCCACATTCCAGGTAAACCCCTTCTTGGCTTCTTAAGGAACAACGCATCTGATGGGTCTACTTAACCAGGCTCTACTTTGTTTCATTACAGCAGTTCTGGTAGAAGCCTTATTGGAATAGTCCCTGCCACCAATCCCTCACCTACTTCACAAAGTTGGCTTCAAGTATTACATGAGTGCAGATGAGGGGATGGGGTCAAAGATGCATCTCTGAGGCACTAAAAAGATAAAACTAGGCATTCTGCATTCGTTGCACATTTTATTTTTGAGTCAGGGTCTTACTCTGACACTCAGGCTGGAGTGCAGTGGTGTGATCATGGCTCACCACAGCCTTGAACTCCTAGGCTCAGGTAATCCTTCTGCCTCAGCCTCCTGAGTAGCTGGGACTATAGGTGCGTGCCACCACACCCAGTTAATCTTTTTATTTTAATTTTTTATTGAAATGAGGTCTCACTATGTTGCCTAGGCTGGTCTCAAATTCCTGGGCTCAAGCAGTCCTCTTGCCCCAGCATCTCAAAATGCTGAGATTATAGGTGTGAGCTGCTGGGCTGGCTCACAGTATATTTTAAATACAAATGTTAAAAGACAGAGAGAATAAAAACTAGACCTTATTTCCTATGAATCTGAAGCCTAAAATTAAATCGGCCAGGAGCAGTGGCTCATACCTGTGATCCTAGCACTTTGGGAGGCTGAGGCAGGAGGACTACCTGAGCCCAGGAGGCTAAGGCTGTGGTGAGCCATGATTGTGCCACTGTAATCCAACTTAGGTGACAGAGTGAGACCATGACTCAAAAATAATAATAAAATAAAATTAAAAATAAAGCCTAAAATAAAATCCTCAATCCTCAAACTTTGAGAACAGAGGTCAACAAACTTTATCTGCATATGTCAGACAGCAAATATTTTAGGTTTTGTTTGGGAACCTATGGTCTCTGTAATGTTTTCTTTTTTTCTGAGTCAGAGTCCCATTCTGTCACCTAGGCTAGAGTGCAGTGGCACGCTCACTGCTAGCTGTGCTCAGACAATCCTTCTGCCTCAGCCTCCTGACTAGCTGGTACTACAGGCACATGCCACCACACGCAGCTAATTTTTTTTATTTATTGTAGAGACGAGGTCTTGCCAAGCTGCCCAGGCTGGTCTCTAACCATTGGGCTCAGGCAGTCCTCTTGCTTCTGTCTCCCAAAGTGCTGGGATTACAGGCATGAGCCACCAAGACCAGCTGTCATGTTTTCTTAAAAACCACTTCAAGGCTGGGTGTGGTGGCTCAAGCCTATAATCCCAGCACTTTGTGAGTCCGAGGTGAGAGGATTGCCTGAGCTCCGGGGTTTGAGACCAGCCTGGGCAACATGGTGAGACCTTGTCTCTACAACAAATAAAAAAATTAGCTGGGCATGGTAGTACATGCCTGTAGCTCCGGCTAGCTAGAGCTAGCTGGAAGACTGAGGTGGAAGGATTGCCAGAGCCCAGTAGGTTGACGCTGGGGTGGCCGTGGGTGTGCCACTGCACTCCAGCCTGGGTGACAGAGTGAGACTCCAACTAAAAAAAAAAAACAAAAAAAAAACAAAAAATAAAAACCACTTCTAGCTCATGGGTGATAAACATCAGGCCCAAATTTGCCAATCCTTGTTCAAGGAGATCAATTCTATTCAAGTAAATGAACAAGTAAACCTTTGTTATTATTTTCTAATTTCAAGTATGATATATATTTCTTGTATAAAATCAGAATATACAAAAGCTCACAAAAAAATAAAATTACCCACTCAATGTATTAATGATCTAATATATACCTGTCTCTTTATTCCCCTAAGGCTTTTCTTCAGAATTTACAAAAATTGGATACAATTCCTTATGTCTTGTTTCTCCCATTCTCAAACTTTTAACATCCTGACATGTCAGTGTTCTGCAATGTTACTTATTAATGGATACATTCCATTCCAATTAATGAACAGGTTATAATTTAACCACTTCCCTACTGGGTTATTTGGTTTTCCCCAACTTCTCCACTACACATAATACTTTAACCAACATGTTCAAAGCGAATCTTTGCACACATCTATGAATAAATCCTGACAAGTAAAATCATCGGGTCAATGGGTACAAACCTTTATAAAGCTTTTGATACATTGTTTTAAAGCTTTTTTTTTTTTCTTTCTGAATTGGAGTATCACTCTGTCGCCCAGGCTGGAGTGCAGTGGCATGCTCATAGCCACCACATCCTCGACCTGCTGGGCTCAGGCGATCCTTCCACTTCAGCCTTCCAAGTAGCTGGAACTACAGGCACATGCCACCATGCCTGGCCAACTTTTTGATTTATTGTAGAGATGAGGTCTCGCCAAGTTCCCCAGGCTGGTCTCAAACCCATGGGATAAGGCAATCCTCTCACCTCAGCCTCCCAAAGTCCTGGGATTACAGGCATGAGCCACCGTGCCCAGTTGATTTTTTTTTTTTGAGTTAGAATCTCACTCTGTCACCCAGGCTGGAGTGCAGTGGCATGCTCACAGTCACCGCAGCCTCGACCTGCTGGGCTCAGACGATCCTTCCACCTCACCCTTCCAAGTAGCTGGAACTACAGGCACATGCCACCATGTCCAGCTAATTTTTAAATTTATTGTAGAGATGAGGTCTTGCCATGTTGCCTAGGCTGGTCTCGAACCCATGAGCTCAGGCAATCCTCTCACCTCAGCCTCTCAAAGTGCTGGGATTATAAGTGTGAGCTACCATGCCTCCCCGCCTGTTTTGAAGCTTTAAAACAGCAACCCGAAATGCCAATTTATGTTGCTACAACAGATCAACTCTCATTGAATAAAATCTTAACAAGAGTAACAGGGGTGGTACCAAATATAGAAAAGACTGCTGAGGCTGGTACGGTGGCTCACAGCACTCTGGGAGGCCAAGGTGAGAGGATCACCTGAGCCCACAGGTTCGAGACCAGCCTGGGCAACTTTGCGAGACCTCATTGCTACAATAAATCAAAAAATTAGCCGTGCATGGTGGCACGTGCCTGTAGCTCCACCTACTTAGAAGGCTGAGGCAGAAGGATCGCCTGAGCCCAGCAGGTAGAGGCTGTGGTGGCTGGGAACATGCCACTGCACTCCAGCCTGGGTGACTGAGTGAGATTCCAACTCAAAAAAAGAAAAAGAAAAAGAAAGAAAAGACGTGGGCCTTCCCACATCTTTAAAAAAGATTTTTTTTTTTTTTGAGTTGGAGTCTCACTCTGTCGCCCAGACTGGAGTGCAGTGGCCGCTCCCGGCTACCGCAGCCTTGACCTGCTGGACTCCGGTGATCCTTCCGCCTCAGCCTTCCGAGTAGCCGGAATTACAGGCATGCGCTACCACGCCCGGCTGAATTTTTTTAATTTATTGTAGAGATGAGGTCTCAACAAGTTAGAAAAAAAAAAGACATGGTCTTGCGTGAAGCACACTGGGAAGGCCCACCAGCGAGGAAGTGAGGGAGTCTTCCTTGGTGGAGTGCAATGAGGGGGTAGAAAGTGCACCCAAACTTGGCTCCCTATTCTCCTTTCTGGTGGTGACAGGCACAGTAACACATCTCCTCTGTCTAGACATCACTTGGTACATACCTGTTATCTGGTTGTTTTCCATAAGTGGCATAGTTCAGTTTAAAACGTTTTGCCTGGAAATTTAAAAACAAACAAACTAAAACAGAGAAAGGTGTTTCAAGAGTCAAACAATATTTGAAAAAAACTGAAATAAATTACCTTGGCCAAAACATCTCCCCCTCTCTAAGCCTCAGCTTTCTCTCCTGTATAAAATGAGGGGGTTGCACGGATGATGGCTAAGGGCACCGCCAGCTCCATGGTTCTATGAGCCCAGGTGTGCCAGCTGGTGCAGCTGTAAGCTAAGTAACTGTGGGAAGAGCAGAATGTAACTCTCTTGAAACGTGTCCTCACTGCTGCCAGCCTGTCCTAGTTTCTCAATCAGGCAAGAGGTCTAGAGTTTCAAGTCTTCCGTTATGGAGGCAGTGATGCAGAGTGGGAAGGGCATGGATTTTGGAGGCAACCAATCTTCAGTTTGAATCCTGGCTCTGCCACTTACTACCTGTGTTGCCTTGGGCAAGTTATTTCACTTCCCTGAGCTTCAGTTTCCTGGGCTGTCAAAGATAACAATGCCTATTGGACAGGGTTGTTATAGGATTAAATACAATGATGTAAGTATACAGTAGGGATTCAACACATGGTAGTAATCAATTACAATAAAAATGGCAACATCATCAGTATCTAAGTGTCCTTACAGGTGTGGCTCCTGGCAGGGGTTTCCCATTAATTTTATGTAAACACTTCTCAGCTGTGGCCAAATCTGCGAATTCTACAAAGCAGTAGCCAGCTGGGATCCTGGGGAAAAAAAAAAAAGCAAACAGAGAAAGAGAATAGTTAAAGATATCCAGATGAGTTTTGGCCTGAAGGAGGAGGAAACAGTTTTCTTTTCTTTTTAAAAATTTTTTAGAGACAGGGTCTTGCTTTGTCACCCAGACTGTAGTATAGTGGTACTGCAGCCTCTAACTCCTGAGCTTCCCTTGCAGCTGGAACTACAAGTATGTGCCACCATGCCCAGTTACTTTTATTTTTTGTAGAGACAGGGTCTGGCTATGTTGCACAGGCTTGTCTTGAACCTCTGGCCTCAAGCAACCCTTGCAACTTAGTCTCCCAAAGTGCTAGGATTACAAGCATGAATCACTGCATCCAGCCAGAAATGGTTTTCCTTTTGTTTTTCCAAGTCAGAGTCTCACTTGTCACCCAGGCTGGAGTGCAGTGGCATGCTCATGGCCACCACAGCCTTGACCTGCTGATCAGGTGATCCTTCTGCCTCAGTCTTCCAAGTAGTTGGAACCAAAGGCGAGTGCCACCACATCTGGCTCATTTTTTGATTTATTGCAGAGATGAGGTCTCGCCAAGTTGCCCAGACTGGTCGAATCCCTGGGTCCAGGCAATCCTCTTGCCTTGGTCTCTCAAAGTGCTGGGATTACAGGTATGAGCCACCACGCCCAGTAGAAATGGTTTTCTAATAAGAGCCCATACTGTTTTTGTTCCCAAGCTATATCCTAGGTCAGACCTAACTTAAAAATCTAAATATAAGGATTGCCAATCTAGGTTCATTCTAGATTCATTTAGTAAATATCTATTTATGTACTGTATCATGTGTGAAGTATTCTTGCCAAAATTGTTTTATACAATCTAGTCAAGCCTCTAGATCTAATATCTAGTTTAAAGGGAATATTAGGGATAGACTATGTAAAACATCACCAGAAGAACACAAATGAATCCAGGATGTAGAATGTTATGTAAGATAACTACTCTTACCTCCTTAAAAACTCAGTGTTATGAGAAAGAGGTGAGCTTTGTAGATTAAAAGAGACTTAAAAAAAAACTGAATGCAATGCAGGAAACTGTAAATCCTAATTCATTAAAAAAGAAAAAAATCAGCCCAGCATGGTGGCTTAAGCCTGTAATCCCAGCACTTTGGAAGGTGGAGGTGACAGGATTGCCTGAGCACAGGAGTTTGAGACTAGCCTGAGCAACATGGCAAGACCTCATCTCTACAATAAATCAAAAAATTAGCCAGGCGTGGTGGCACATACCTGTAGTTCCAACTACTTGGAAGGCTGAGGCGAAGGATCACCTGAGCCCAGGAGGTCGAGGCTGCGGTGGCCATGAGCGTGCCACAGTATTCCAGCCTGGGGGACAGTGAGACTCTGACTCAAAAAAAAAAAAAAAAAAAAAAAATCGATCAAATATATCCTGAAAACAATTATAAAAATTTAAATATAGACTGGCTATTATATGGTATTAAGGAATCATTGTGAATTTTGTTAGTGTGATAAGAGCATTATGATATATAAAAGACTGTCTAGTCCAAGTGCAGTAGCTCAAGCCTATAATGCCAGTGCTTTAGGAGGCTGAAGTGGGAGTATCACATGTGCCCAGGAGTTGGAGGTTACAGTGAGTTACAATTACACCTCTGCACTCCAGTCTGGATGACAGATTGAGACTTTGTAAAAAAAATTAAAAATAGCCAGGTACGGTGGCTTAAGCCTGTAATCCCAGCACTTTGGGAGATGGAGGCAAGAGGACTGCCTGAGCTCAGGGGTTCGAGACCGGCCTGGGCAACATGGCAAGACCTCGTCTCTACAA